GAGCTGTTTTCAAATGAACTGTGCCTGCGGGGAGTGCACGCTTAGCGTGCACACTGAACATGCTAGCATGCACAAAACACACACTCCGCAAACCAATTGTTACCCCAATTGAATCCCACCACTGGCTGACATCTTTCAGATCTGTGGATTTCAACACTCAGAAATCCCAACTTTGGAATATTGTTTTAAGAATTCTGGAAGATGGTGTAGGTTTAATCAAGTTGCCATGTTCAGAAGACCTTGGGGTAAATATTATTGAGATACGTGATACAGATTTGGCCTGGGGCATAGTCCTCTACCTCTTCCGTTCATAGGGAAAGTATCTGCAAAGAATGGTCTTTATTCGTATGACTCTCTATTCATTGCTACAGGAAAACAAATAAATACAATATGGATTTCAATTGAATAAGAGGACAAAACCTGTTTTTGCTGGTTCTTGTTCTCATTTCAGCTCCTACACTGATGGACACTTTACTATGAAGTAATAAAATGAAGTCAAAAATATATTGCTCAGATGAGATCACTGTGGTGCAATATAAGCCCATTAAATACTTCTATTTGTGTCCGGCTGGTCTTGGGCCAAAGAGATAAAATGTGGGCTACAGTGTAATATCCTTGATCATTTACACTGAAGTGAGGGACAGAGATTCAGATCAACATCCGAAGCACTCAGAAAAGTGCAGACAAATATGAATTGACCTTTTTGTAACTGAGAAAGAAATCTCTCCCTCCCCTCAAGCCCATGATGTAAAGTGGCCATTAGTCAAAGGTTTGGGAACTATCAGATTAACAGTATTTGGCTTTTATTGCTTTATCTGGAAGAAGTAAAGTACAAACTTAATTTTCAGAATTTAACCTGGTGTCCACTTCAGAGCATAGCTTGCATTCTATTGGCTTAGATGAAGAGTAACAGTGAATAAAATACATCATTTTCTTTTTCTAATTGTGTCATTGTGTTAGGAGGCAGGAAATGTGTGGTGGCAAAAATTAATGTTCACACAGATGTATCACTCTGACTTATTTCATGTGCATATGATAATATTACTTAAGATGGTTTGGGCTTCGAGAGAGCCTCTGACCGAGGCTTCCCAAGAGCATGAAGCAAACTCCTTGTCCCGACAAAAACTCCTTTTATTAATTTGCTGTGAATTCTGTTCATTCACATCCAATAAAGTCTTTCGAGGGAGGATTTACAGTCACAGACCTTATCTGGCTTGGAGAGCTGCCAGGCCAATATATGCAAAACTTGGCAAGGAGTCTCAGAGAGTCACAAACCAATTAAGCGAACTAATTGTCTCCTGCAAACTCCACTCCCACTGAGTTTCTCTTTTATTTCCTCTGGCAGGGTCCATTCATTCATGTCCACCTGTGGCCTTACACCCAAGTTGATCCCTGTTCTTTAGCTGTTCCTTGTGTCTGGCAACTCTGTGCATGCACACACTGGGAACAGGCTCCAGCTGTTCTTCTGCCTCACTGCTGTCTGACTCCGAAGGCAGCTGATAACTGGCATATGGCCCTGGCTCCCTCTCTGCCTCTGACACAGAGCCCTCATCAGAGCCTTCCCAGCTAGCAACTGCAGGGATTCCCTTAACAACTGGGGCAAGAACTGTCGTAAAATGGG